CTTACGAAGACCCCATTTAACGAAAAATTCAAGTTACAAAGGCACTTAACGGCAATATTTCTGCCCGTGGTAAGGCAAAATGCCCGAGTAACGAAATAGATAAAATAGAAAATTAAAAAAAAAATTAAATTAAATTCCATAATGTTATGTACATGTACACGTACGTACATATGCATGCATACGCATGCTTTCTTCAACCTCCGCCACCTCCTCCTCCACCAAGAACTTCGTCTTCAGCCAGCATCGCCTCACTCAAAAGGCGATGGAAAAAGGTGCTTCGAATTTTTGACTTACGAAAGACCCTCTGGAACAAATTAAATGCGTAAGTCGGGGTTCCACTGTACCTAAAAATCACATTTTGCAGGTCAGCAAATAAAGAACATTTGATCAGCGGTGGTGGGATTTCTGCCTACGCTCCTCCCACCAGTGTTTTCTCTGCAGTTCTAACAAAGAAGTCAAAGGTTTTGTAACGAGAGCGCTCTTCAAATAACTGGTTTTGACTTCAGGTCTGTGCAGGAATCTAAGCTGGAATGTTTGATGGCAGTCACAAAGAGAGATGGGCTTCAGATTTAACTGCAAAGCCAAACGTGAGCAGATGACCTCCAGAGTGGACGCTGAAGTACTGTTAACTGGATGAAGCATTTAGAGGAACATTTGAGCTGTGCTGCTCCGACCTGCTGACTTAGACACTTTAGATTTAGTCTCCTCTTTAGTGCAGGGAAGCAATAATCTCCGATGTGATTTAAAGGATTATTTATGAGCTCAAATTCCTAATTAATGACACAACTGCTGTCACAGTCTTATTCCTTTGATAGTTAATCTTTTATTTACTCAACACTTTACTCGCCATCCACGCGACCTTTGCCACACATTCCGCAACGCTAAATATGAGATAAGAAATCCTGACATTAAATTCCTAGAATGGACTCATTTTAATTAATAGCGTCTCTCTTTGACAGTTTAGTTTAAACAAAACTCAGGTATTTATTAAAAATAAAAATAAATGCTGAAAATATGAGTGTTTAATTGCCTCATTCTATCTCCAAAAAGAAAGTGTCTCAGTTCAGAGTCCCCTAAAGCAATGAAAGCAGCTGATTCTCACATGCTGACATTAAAAGATTTAAGGCAGCAGGAACTCTTAAGGAGACCCAAAATAAAACTGAATATTTTCAGTTGGGAATTCAGCCTGAAAATTCATATCAGATGTGTTGAGGTCATTCAAAGGAATGTGCACACATTACAGGGAAACACTTGCCTCGATCTGATTACGAGCGTCCACCACAGACACGGTGTTGTGCCCCTTGTGGTCCTCGTTCACGCAGTCCTGGCAGATACAGCAGGAGTCAGTGGAGCAGAACAGGTCCAGGGGCCACTTGTGGCTCTCGCAGGTCCGCCTCTCGATGTCCCTGAGCGGGTCCACGAGCCGATGGTTTTGAAATTTTGGATTTTCCAGGTGAGGCCTGAGATGGGCCTCGCAGTACGACACCAAGCAGGTGAGGCAGGACTTGAGGGCCCTGCGGGGGCTTTCAATGCAAGAGTCACATACCACATCGTCGGGGCCCAAAGGTTCCTCCTTATCCTGGTCCTCTTTTGGTCCTTCTTCTGTCTGTGGTTCTGCTTCCTTTTTGTCCTCTTCAGGCTTCTTGGGGTCCTCGGACTGATTCAGGTCTTTTTGGATCTCGGTCTCCTCCGCTGTCGGTGACTCTTGACTCTGTTCCTCACTGTTTTTATTTACATGAGCGTCAGCTGTTCCATTCTGTTTGGGACTGCCAGGCTTGACGGGACACTGTGGACATCCTTTACTTTTGTCTCCGAGACAGGAACCGCATACGGAGTGACCACAAGCTGCCGGCTCCCCCTCGCTCAGTTTACCTGAGCAGACATGACACAGGTTCTGCTGCTGCTGCTGTTTGGGGAGAGGAGCTACTTCTACAGCTGCTGTATCTGCCATGTCTTCAGCTCTTCTTTGAGCGCCTGGCGTCACTTCCACTCTTTAAAGCTGTGTGGAAATAACTGGCTCAGCCACTTCTGTCAGCCAGCAGTATCTGATCGCAGTAGAGAAAGCCACACCTAGATGATGTGAGAGACGGTCAGGACTCATAGTTTCAGTCAGAACTCAACCCGCCCCTTCAGCACTCACATGCAAACAGATACACACCCACCTCCACGTCTTTAACACTGAAAGAGGGAGGAGGTGCAGGGTGGAGTCCACAATGCAAACCAGGAACAGAGGTGTAGGATTGCATTCTCCCACATGCGCTATGTTTGAATATGCACTGAAACTTACAAGTTCTGCTACCAGTAAGCAACAACTGACCTATCTACTATCTTTATAGACACACTGATGAGGCCACTCACTGCTTTCCCGCCCTGCTCCAACACTATTAAATTGAAAACTGGTCTGGATAAAACAGAGGTGATCACTGCTGCAGCCTTTTGCTTACTCACCCTCTTCCTCTTTCACTTTTCTGCAGATAAGCAAGAGGAAAAAGCAAATGCTGATAGGATCAGGTTTCAGCAGCGCCAAAAGCAGACGCTGCCACCCAGTGTCCATAATAATGCTTGGCAGGTACTGCTAATGTTGGTATCAATCCAATACCATGTACCCAGTAAATACAGGGCCGGTATAGCTGATACTGATACTTCTGACCTATAAACTTATGAGATGCACATCAGTGAATTCTGAACCCATTTTAATGAGCATTAAATCTCTGTGCTGAATGTAAACGTGCCAGTCCTAAAGCAGTTTGGGTCAGCTTGTGTTGTTTAAATGTGCTTATTGTGCTGTAAATAAAGTAGACATGACAGGTTCAAGATATTGTTCCCAGCGTGAGTGTGAGGTATCATTTTTTTTAATTAAAAAGTAATTATTATTTAACACAATGGATGATGGAAACACAGCACTGATCCCATCTCGACAGTATCGATATCAATATCAGCGCAGGTAACGATTATAGTGATACTTTTGATCAATCCGCCGGTCAGGGAATAGCAAGTTACGAAGTGAAGAGCAACAGACTGTAGAGGAAGTTCCACAAACAGTCACAAACTGTTAGATTTGTTCCTTCTATCGAGAATAAATGTTGCTAAACTGCAGTTTCCTAAAGTTTGTGATGCCTGTTCCTGTTTTTCACACAGGTTCGTAGACATGCGCACATGTAACCACATGTCCGGGCTTTGTCCGGGTTAAACAAACACCACCTGATCATAGTTCAAGGTAAAGGTGTAGGTGGTGTTTGAAAGCACCTTAGCTGTAACAGCAGTAGCCTTCGTGTCTGACGCTTTTTAAAGTCTTAAGATTTACCTTCAGTTAGGTTTATCGTTCCCAGGCTGAGGGGAGGTGACGGGATTCTCTTCTTACCGGGGGTTTTCTCCTTGGTAACCGATCAACAGGTGAGACAGCACCGCCTATGAAGCACACTTGATTGGATGACCAATCAAGTGCGTCGTCACTCCCGGACGATCCCTCAGGTCTTAGACTACGATCCAAATATATATATATATATATATATGTGTGTGTGTGTGTGTGTGTGTGTGTGTGTGTGTGTGTGTGTGTGTGTAGTAATTTCTATGAATCTTTTTTTTTTACATTGTTTATTAATTGTAGTTGTATTGATTGTGTATTTTGGTTTCATGTGAATGTATGTTCTAACTTTGTGTATTGTGAATGTAAGGCAAACAAGGGACAATAGGTGGAAATTCGCAATAGCTATAAACCTATGTGCAGTGCATCAGCCTCATGTTTCATATTTGGACTATGTTGAACTGCACTGTCCCTTTTAAATAAAGAATTATTATTATAACCCATCAGATTCTCCTGTGTCTCAGTGACAGTGCTGTGATATTAACATGATATTTATCGAAAAGCCTGTCTAGGAAAACAGTTTGGCATTCACAATTGTTTTTAATTAAATGAAATGGCATGTAAAGAAAACAAAAATACTGAAAGGAAAGGTCATATTTTAGTATGATATATCTCATCTTAAATGATTTTATCTTGCATCTAAAACGATTTCTATCATTGCTGGATGTCTAATTTTTATGACCGTATCCCACAGATGCTGAAGAATCTGTGTCCTCTTGTTTGTCTCATTGTCTCTGTACACAGTGACGAGTTCCTGCACACAGTGACGAGTTCCTGCCTCAAGGGCCAATCAGAGTGAGAGGCACTTGCTCATCAGCATCCTGCATCATTTAAACATCGGCTCTTCACATCATGGTGTGACAGGTTTGCCACCTGGTACTAACACGATGGAACAGCATCCCCACACTCTGACTTGGAGAATGCATGGATTTTGAGGTGGCCTTTAAGAAGCAGCTACAAACTCATCTTTGTATATTTGCTTTTGAGTAACCTCTGAAATCTGGATATTTTAAGATCCCTTTTACCAGCTCGGTATCTACCTAAAAAAAAGCACTCTATAGTCGCTCGGGGAAGCCTCAGCTACGATAAATAAGCCTTTTAACAGGGCTGTATTATTACAGCTGTGTGCCCTCTTTCTCCTTTCTTTTTCCTTCTTCAACAGATAATGTTTTATTTATTGCACTAATGGATTTCTGTTGTTCTGTGTACTCATGTATCAGCTTCTCTTCTGAGGGGCAGCACTCTGGGATGTCCCACATCTCTGTTAGCAGTCATAAAGTTCCGGGCATTCCCGAACGCTGCTTTGAATAAAATCCTTTTCAGTTACCTGCAAATGCTTACCTTATAATCAGAGCTCAGAGATAAAACATGTTCCAGAGTATCTCTGAATAAATGCACATTTTTAAAGAGTTTACTAAAACTGAATATTGGGCTGGCTGATTGCTTCTGCTACACTTTAAGTGTCTCAAACAGTTGCTTAAGGTATTCTCTGTGTCAGAGTATGAAACAAAGCCTTTATTCGTCTATTTTTAAGTCACATTTTCACCCCATTTACAGCCCAAGTGTTAAACAGGAGAGCGACAGCAGGGGTGACAGGCAGCTCATTCGTTTACAGGAATAAAAAGCAATAGCATGATTTTTATTTCAGTAACTTCATGTTAGAATTTATTATGTGAAACACACGCGCACACACACACACACACACACACACACACACAATTACATCCCTGACCTCAAGTCCAGGAGCTACAGATGCTTTTTTAAAAAAAAAAACAAAAACAAAAATAATCATTGTCATTACTTCTGCCATCGGTCAGTGGATGAGATCAGAGGCCTGCCTCATGATGCAGATTATTATGAATGAATTCCTCCCCTGGCTAAGTTAGCTTATCAAGTTCAGATTTCCCTGCAGTGTCGGGTCAAGTGCTCTGTGAGCAAAACTTTACGGGTTTAAGCACCATTTCTGAACAGCCTGGGTTGAATTCACTGATGTCCTGTAGGTAAAAAGAAACTTATTCAACAGTTTCTGCTGAACGCTCTTTACAGATTTGACAAAAAGTCTTGATTTATTTGTCCGAGGCCACTGCACCCAAATGCAACGTAATTACACCTGTCTCCTTTACACCTAATAGAAGTGTACCAGTGAAAGTACTAAGAGATATGAGATGCTTGCAGTAATCTGTCAATGATTTTGTTCTGACTCTGTCATCCTGTTGCACACAAAGACATTTCCCACAGTATCAGACCACACCTCCACCCTGGGTACGTGGTCATCAGTTTTTTGTGGTTTTATTAAACTGGTTGTATTTTCATGACTTTTTTTTGCTTCTGCTCCCCTTGGGGTCTCTTTTACAGCAAGGAGCTGCACACTTGGTTAAATAGCCTAAACATTAGAGTAAATGTGGTGCAGATTAAACCTCAGTTTAAACATTTTATGTTATTTCTTGTCACATCTTTTTTTAAAAACACAAATGGTCGTCACCCCTCCATTGATGTTCCCAAAAGTAGTATTGTCCTCTATTCTACTTTTGGAAACATTCTTATTTTGGGGTTATTTCTAGCCAAAGTGCTCGGGTTGTCTCAGATTTTCAAAGCAGGACTCTACAATTTCTTCACACAATGCTCACTTTGTTGTATTTATTCATGAGGCAGGCCCCAGGTCAGCTGCACAGCTTTGTTTAATTCAGCTCCCAGTGTCTACAGTCAGGTCAGTGTTTGATTCTTCTTTGTGTTAAATGAGCTCTAAAGGTGTAGGATATTCATTCAGTTGATATGATCGTTAAGACGTGGGGTTAATTTCCTAAGATTAGAAACTGCGCATCGATTCAGGACCTATTCCGTGTGTTAGAGGTTCAAACTGCGGCAGCAGAAATACTTGTGCTTTTGAGCGGCTGAGGTCATTAGTCCGAACAGGTTTTTTCTTCTGCTCGCCCTCCCTCTGTCACTGCACCCCCACCAGCTCTGTGATGGGTGGGGCAAACACCATCAGTTCCTGGTATTTGTGGAAGAACAGGTGCAGGCGGGACGAGTAGGTGTCCTCCTGATATGGCAGCTGCTTTTCAGTCAGGTATTTGGACACAACAGGTTTCACCTGCACAAGAGGAACAAAGTAACCATAGTGGGAAATACGTAAATACATTTAGCAATTTAATAATTATCCAAAGTTCTGTGATGGTGACTTTTTAAACTGTGTGCTCTCGTTTTGTTTGTGCCCTTTGCTCTGCAGAAGAATCCAACAGTTCTGCAACAAGCAGGTAAATATATTCATCTGTGATGTCCCACCTTTAAACACATGTTGTCTGACAGAAAGGGGAAGAGATGGTGCTCCACGTGACAGTTGATTAGTGCGTGTCCAAAGATCCGGTCCAGCAGAGGGTTTCGCGGCAGGTTCAGGACTCCGTGAGTCATCTGGTGAATCCTCTTTGGTCGACGAGTTGGAGAAAACATCGGCAGACCGATATGCTGCAATTAGAAACAGTTTGTCATCACAAGTTATGTGGCCTATTGTACTCTTGCCAGCCATGTTAATAGGTACACCTGTTTAACTACGGGTCAATCCAAAGTTCTTTTTGGTCAGTAATAAAAGACCTGGAATTGTAATTGAATTGAAATTTAGGCACGGAGACATGTCAGCTAAGAACAGGAAACTGAAGCTGCAATTCACACAAGCTTCCCAACACTGGTCTCATGAGTCTCGATTTCTGCTGCGATATTTAGGGCTCGAATTTGGTATGAACAACACAAAGCATCGATCCATGCACACCCCTACCAGCATTTCAGACTGCTGGTAGGGGTGTGATGGTTAGGGAACACTAAAAGATATTTAAATTAAGCTCAGAGTCTTTGTATTACAGCACAAAGTGTTTAGTGTAATTTCTGTGTAGTCTCAAAGATTATCGTCAGACAGAGATCATGGAGTTCAGCAGGGTGGGGGTGGGGTGGAGGTTAGTGTTGGACGTCAGCCAGCAAAACCCCAGGAGAGCTGGGAGGACAGATTTTTGATCCGAACCCCCCAGCAAGAACAAACACTTTCCACTGGTACACTGCTGACTTCTCTTCAAGAACCTGTGTTTTCTAATCCACCTTCACACGCTTTGATCCGAACAATACACAATGACCTGCAGGCATCCATCTGGGAAAATCATGCATGAATTGTTTCTTTTTATCCCTTTAGTTCACTGCCTGCTCTGAGAACACAATGCTGCATTCAAGCTCCTCAAAAGACCCTGTTACAAAAAACACCCTTATGATCATTTCACATGAACCGAGCACATAAATCTGTGAGAAGTGACGAATACATGTGCATAAATTACTTATGTTTTCCCCAATTCAAGACCAAAGAGTATAAAGGTATGTGGTGTGGCGATTAATGGATACTGATGAGATACATGTATCTATTCATAATCATCTAAAGTTCTCTAAGATGTGGCCATTTAAAAACACTATTTTAAAAAAATAAAATAAAAAAAGCATAATTCTTGTTTTATTTTGGATCTAGTGCTTCTATCAGTTATGTTACAAATCCAGAATCTAACTGGAAGTAGTAACATCTGAAATGCCATTAACAAAACCTGGGTAACAGACGTGTGTGCTTTCTTTTTAATGACCACTAGGCAGCAATATTCGACACTAGCGAGGTTTCTCAAGCGCACATTTTTCAAGAGTTTTACTACATATTGGGCACGACAGGGCCACCGTTTGTGTGGCAGCAGTTCCTGGAGGCTGGTTGTTGCTGGATGAAGTGGTATTGCTGGTATTCCAGTGGTGGCAAATCTTGAAAAAGTAAAAGCTGCACCTCAGCCAACCGTTTCAAAAGGCACAACTTTTACTTTGAAGGAAAACCTGCATTTTTAGGTTGTTCTCACAGTTTAGCTACTGCACAGAGATTACTGGCAGAGTGTCACTTCAATTCAAATGATCAGCACAGCAATATGCTGTGAAAGCAGTCACAAGGGCATTCTTGACACCCAGATGAGGAATACACTTTTTTCCTGCAGGGGGAAATCGCTTAGACATTTTCTTGATGAGATTATGGTCCCAGTCAGCCACTTTGAGTCATTTTTACTGATCTTGATATTCAGAAGGAGGATCATTAAAAGCTTGGCGCTTATTTTAATATCTGTCATCTTACTGCTCTCTAAATGTTCAAAGACATGAAAATTTTATATAAAACTAGTTGGAAACTAATTGGACACCAACATAATCCAATTAAAACTACATACATCAGAGCTTCACAGCTCTCTGAATATTTTAGCTACAAAATGACATCATTTTGAGCTGAATATGAAATACAAGACGTCACAAACAAAATTCACTGTAACTGTGTCTTATAGGTGTCAGCAGGCTGAATTCTCAGCTACAGATACCGTGTTCTCACCTGGAAGATGTTGACGTGGATATACGGCACGGAGAACATCGCCCTGCACACGAGCATACACAGCAATGCTCCATAAGGCGACGTGAACCCGGAGACATTGATGAGCAGCCAGTACTGTGAATACAGGCCCAGGGTTACCATCAGGATGGTCCTAAGGATGTGGGCCAAAGATTGTCCTTTGAGCTGAGCTGCAAAACCATGAGAGTGTGCATGAGAGTAAACTCGCACTGCAGTGACACAGACAAGTAAGACAGAGACTCGAGGAGGATCACAAGGTTTAAAAAGTGTCTCAACTTTATGCTGAGTTTCACATTTAACCTTGAAGCAAACACGGCTCGTCTTTGGTCCTCTGGCACCTCTTACCGAGCGCAACAAGCGGAGTGATGATCGGCACGGCCAGGGGGGCTATGAACAGGTAGATGATGCGAGGTAGGAAGGGCACCTTCCACACGCTGGAGTCACCCAGTCCAATGACATTAGTGTGAGCGTGATGCATCTTAATGTGGCCCTGAATCCCGGCTCGTGCCGAGAATGAGCCACAGATCTGAGGGGATGAAGAACAAGTGGAGGTGTTCAATAAACCAGCAATGATGGAGCACATGAAACAGTCAATGAACATTATCAAGCTCCGCTAACAGCTGGAAAGGGCAATGGTCAGAAGAGATTTGGATATTCTTAGCAATTAATAATCAACCAAAGGTCATTAAAGCTTCTTAATCATATCACTTATAATGCGCATTGCTTCATTCACTCTTGCAGACATTGCTGTTTATAGCAGGTTGTAACCTTTGGGGTTGAAGGAATAAACATGCTTTGTGTGCCTAACACAGGAGGTCCAAGACATTTGTGCTCCAATATTGTTAAGAAAAATTGGAATATTTTGTCAGTCTGTTACTTATTTAATTACACCTGTGGTGTTTCCTGCGATCAGTGATGGCTAACCCACTAAATCCTAAATAAAACAAGGTCTGTGTCCATGTGGAGATGAAGAGTGCACTGAAATACACACCAGACGGGGAGGATATTGGCGGGACACTGCTGCATAGGCACTCAGAGGCTGAAACAACGCGCTGCAAAGATTAGTGAACTATTTATGTTCAATGTTTTTAAAATGTGTAAAGAAAACCATTTGCGTTTTTTAATGAATTTCACAGAGGCTCTTCAGAAAGAACAGCATATACATGAAGGTTTTGGCAGCTCTGGTGAAATCAGAGCGCTTCTATCAGCTCAGTGTGTATATCGTTACATTCATCCAGCCATAAAAGTCCTGGAAAAACAGAGTCATGAAATCCTAATCTGATGAAACTGTGAACAAATCACCAAATGAGCAGGGTGTGATTCAGAGCTGTATCCATTTAAAATGATGCAACTATTTACTGTTACATAGTTTCTTGGAATAATACAACCACTTAGAAATTAAGTGGTGATGTTTTCTTCTCATTTCTAGCTCTACATACAGTAAGAGAAATTATCATTTGATCTACTTCTGAATTTCACTTATCAAGAGATGAAGAGTCTCTAATATTTATGGTAGTTTCATGTTTAATAGAGAGGCAGACAAGATTGTAGAGCTGGACAAGGGTGGAATGGCCGACAAGACCATCAGCAAGAAGCTTGGTGAGGAGGTAACAGTTGCTGCTCATGGGGTGAGGATGATCATGAGAAATGTGTTGGATCAGGTGGAAACATTATGCTTTAGGGCTGTTTTTCTGCTAAGGGTACAGAGGGATCTGCAGAAGGAGCTGAAGCTTCAAGATGACAGGCGGCAGCCAAGAGGGATTCACACAGTTTCATTTAGCCCACATCAGTGGGCTAAAATCCCTCCTGAGATGTGCACAAACCTGGTGACCAGCATCAACAAAGGTGTCTTCACCAAGTACTAAGTCATGTTTTGCTCTGAGATCAAATACTTGCGTCGTTCGATGACATGCAAATCAATTAAAAACATGTTTTTATGGATCTTTGGTTGTTGTCAATTCATTATTTCCCACAACTGTATTTGTTCTTAGATTCTACTAGAGTAGATTTGCATGATTCACAATTTAAAATAATCCATTATCTTATACTGGGAGCCTGGTGCAGTACAAGACAGCAGCTGTAGCTTCATATTCATGATAATGACCCTCAGCGGGGAAAAAACAAATGTCCCAAAATGTCCAACTGCTGCTCTAAGCACACAGCTACAGAGCTGCGTGTGAGAATACAGAAGCTTTGCCTGCAGGTACTTAATGACAGCCTTTCAAGTCTATTTCTGCACATCTCACCTCGATGAAAAAGACGGCCCAGAACCTTCCCCAGGCCTGCGACTCGCTCAGCGCCCCGTGGCTCGCCAGATGTGTCCCCTTGACGGTGATGACAGCGTGAGCCACGCCCATCAGCAGGACGCCCGCAGAAAACCCCAGAAGCCTCGAGGAGCCCAGCAGCAGGAAGGCTGCAAGACAGAACGCAGGGAATAAAGATGCTACAGATCCTAAAGATGCTGACTCTTTACCCTTACACTGGCAGCAGGACACACACTGCATTACTGCTGCATTGACTGTATACATCTACTGTTATCGCTCACACACATTCTTTCAGCCTTTGATAGCAGACAGCTGAGGCTCAGTGCCAATAAGTGTTTGCAGTGAGCAAACATTCTCATAGCCACCATGAACAGGAAGACATCAGACGACTATTTAAAGATTTACTTTTGTGTTTTCATTGTTGAATAAAGCAGGACAGGTAACCAATAATAAATTGTGATTCTAAAATTTTCCTTGCTGCCTGTTACGGTTCAGCATGACTGGTTTGGGTTTCATTATTCTCAGGTGGGGTTGACGGCCTGGCTTTGTTGGGTTTTTCCACCCTGGGGCAGAGCCTCTGGGTGTGAGTCACTGCTGCACCTGTTTGCAGTGAAGTCATCAGGAGTATATCAAGGACAGGCGGTGTCACAGCACCATCTCTGTCTGCGTAGTGACATTCAGGCTGCCTTTGTAAAAAGCTGTGTTTTGTGGTTCACTTGGAAACTTCATCCGAACCCTGTTTGTCTACCTTTTTGCACCAGCTCAGCAATCAGAGGAACTGCTTACCAGGACTCCACCTGCCTGCCTGCTCTCCACCTATTCCCCCACTTGCTGATCCAGCTCCCTCAGAGTCGAATCACTAAAACATAAATTTGATACCTGCCTGTTAGATTACATTCTAATTTATACCTTCTTTGCTGGTAGAGCACCCGAGACCCTTTTTAAATAGAATCTGCTCACTATTCCCTGCTCTGTCAAGGCTCAAGTGATGAGTCACATGATCAGAGTAAACCTTTGCAAGAACTGGAAATGAAAAGCAATCAGAATAAATGCTTACATTTACCATGAGTCAAACTATGTAATGTGAAGCCAGCATGATGGGCAGGAAGCTCAGGTGAAAGGATGACAGTCTGGAGGTGGACACTGTTACCACACTGGCTTCCTTCCACTGTCACTGTGTACTGTTTACTATAGTTTAGTGTCTGCATACAGTAGAAGCAGGCTGATGATGAACATGAGACGAAGCTTTAAATCCACTAATCAAAGTCAGTTCTGTTTTTGTCACAAATGTTAACAGCATGGATGGATTACATCTAATTAGACACATGAGACATTGTAGCTGCTGATACTTCTCTGGCTGCCTTTGACAGCAGAGTTTAGGTGACACATTCCCTTTTTAACCCAGTAAAACTGCTAATATGACGCGCCTCCTATTTCAAAGCAGCCTATTTCGAGGTGATAAGTCACGAGCTTGGTGCTACACAGTGACAGAAAACCCGTCCGCCTCATTCTGCAACTACATCTACTTCTGAATCATTTCGACATGTGAATTATACTGGCAATGATTTATATTTTAGGTAAAACTCACAAAAAAGCAGCAAAGACCTGCTGCTGCTGCTGCAGAACTAATCCGTGGTAATTACTGCTACGTCTACGAGTCTGGAATCAAGCCTGAACCTTAAAGCTGTCAGATCCAATGATCAAGTGACGTGAGTCACAATAGACAGCAGTCCAAAATGAGGTCAGTAGTAGCTGACCACCAGTGACCCACATAAAATGAGACTCCATGAATGTGCAAAGCCAGACTGAGGGGTGACGGTGAGAAAACGCTACGCTGTGTATTTCTGGAAAATAAAAAAATAACTAATGAGACAGTTTTAGTTGTAAATATTGAGTCATCATGATATCACTGTGACTTTTGTGATTTACGTCTTTTTGCTGCTATTTTATGACCAGTCTTTTCAAAACTATGACTTTCAAACAGACAAAATTAAGCAAAACACCTGAACTTTACTATTATGATGGCGCACTGTTCTCACAATCATTTCCCACTATTATTAAAATTTATCTCGTCTGTTTTTTCCTTCTTTATGTCAAAATATGACAGATGAATTTTTAGGTAAAGCTTCAAAAACTTTATCCGGTGTTTATCGCAGACTTGAAAGCAGGAAGACTGCAAAACACCAGATTTGGTCCTCAGAGCCAGCATTGTTTAGGGAAGTTGTCAAAAAAAAGTTAACCAAGTGAAACACAAGCAGCAACGTCCAGGACTAAAATGTTAAAGCAACACAGAAGTGTCCCCAAAACTGCAGTACCTGTAATGTCCACTTGAGGCCGGCTCCACAAACGCCCCACAGTTAAAATGTCCAACATGTTTACAGGCTGATCTATAAAAAAGTTACGTGTTTTTGTTAAAACTAAGTTTGTAGCAGGCCTACATCCCCGTACAGGTGAATGTAGCTGCTAGCTGTCTGCTAGGCTCCACCCCCTCTCATTAAAGTCAAAAAATCGAACCTGTAAGCTACTTTCTTTGTTCTGTTGGTTCCTTTTGGAGCATTTTCAGTACAATTACTATACACGGCTAATGTTACGCCTTGCATTGTCAGAGAGCAAGCCATAAGAGAAAGTCAAAAATTCTTCCCTTGAGGTTGGGTGAGCAAACTTATAGTATTTTAATTGTGTGTTAAAATACTATCTCTGTATCTCTGTCTGTGTGAGCGCACTTTGCTAACCAGGTAAAATGAAAACTTAGCACTTCTGCTCTCTAAAACAAACAAACAAATTCCAGCATAGCTAAACTTGCCCAATTTGAGGGTTTAATGTGAAACTTTACAAACCAGTCGGTGACATCACAGCTGCTATGGCCATCTTTTATTTACTAAGTTTGCAGTAAGAGAGGCCTCCCAGGCTTTGAGCTTCTGGTTGAGTCGATTACAGAAACACAAACTGACACAAATAATTGTCTCTTAAATGATAAAACCCTCCAAAACAATAACTCATCTATGCAGGTGCAATCACATCTATGACGTTGTGCCTCACCAGGTGGCAGACAGAGGAACGCTGCTGCCAGGATACTGCAATCGACCCCCCTCCTCTCCCACCAGCTGCTCTCCTTCACCACCTTCTGAACCAGCTTCGTCAGCTCCATCATGAGAGACTCCTCCACCTCTTCAGCTCCTGCGCCTCCATTCTTAATCTTTGGGTCCCCTCTCGTCTTGATTAACATCTCTTCATCACCTCTTCCTCCTCCTCTTTCCCTCTCATCCCTCCGCTCATCTTGTACGCTCTGCATCCTGATCACTGGCCTAGAGTAAAGTCACCATGCAGGTTGTGTCCTCCTGTGAGCGGCTGCTGATAAACCCTGCAGCTTGAGCACACAGTACACAGGTCAAAGTTAGCATTTCAACAGTGTGTATTGTCAGAGAAGCCCAGCCCCCTTCCTGCTGCTTCAAGAGCATTGCGGACCCTCCTTTCCTACCTCCTCCTCCTCATTCCTTTCTTCTTGTTCCACCCCGTCAGCTGACTCCTTGGGCAGTCCAGCAGCAGAGGAATTTCTTGTCCCACTGCCCAAAGATGTAAGGTTGGCCTGCGATGGGATGGATCCAAAAATCCTCCTCACACGCACAGCAACTCAAAACTGCTGCGGCTGCTTACCTCACAGTCAACTCTTGCTCATCTCTGGTTTCTCATATATTCTGCATGTTGCTCACCCCCTGCTCTGTTCCTCTCTCTCTTTGTGTTAGCTCCTTTCCCTCCTCCCCTCCCATCCCCGTAACCTTGGCAAATGTCCTGGGAAAGCAGAGTGAGAAAGGAGGGCTGATTAACACGGGCCGTTCAGTTGTTTCTCCACAGCAGAGAGGGGGCGAATGTTCAGAATGAAAAGGAGAAGATGCTGATGTGCGAGAATTTCTTTGGCTAGTTTAAGTGTTGGTAAAGGTGAGAGTAGTCAGTAGTGAGTTATATACATATATCTGGTGTCAGCGCCTCTTTGTCCTCTGGAGAGAGGCCACAGTTCTCAGCTTGAAGCCACGCTGACTGCAGTGTGCTCTTTAAAAGATACAGAGTGAGTAATTTTTAAGAGAGAGGAACAGAAGAGCACCAGGCCGCCTGACAGCTTCACACACATCCTCCCACAGCCTTGGCTTGTTGGTTTTACTCAAGCACTTATCAGAGTCAGGCTTTTTATCCATTAACACCAGAGAAGGACACATTTTTAAAGGTCCACATCCAAAGGACTGTCTAGGGATGCAAAATATTGCATTTTTCTGGCTTAAGAGAAACAAAAGAGCCACAGTTTCAAAGAAGAGAGACAAACTAGGAGAAGAATCCCACGTATATTCTATTCTATACAGGCGCTGTGGAGAGCATCCTCACACAGAACATGACATCGTGGTTTGGGAACAGCTGTGTGAAGGACCAAAAAGCTCTCCAGAGAGTGATCCGTACAGCAGAACGCTGCTGCAGGATTGCTCTCCCCCCGCTTCAGGACACCTACACCAGGAGATGCCGGACTAGAGCAGCGCAGATACTGAAGGACCCGTCCCATCCTGGCAACAAACTGTTCCAACTTCTGCAATCTGGTAGAAGGTTCCGCATCTTCCGGGCAAGGACAGAGAGACTCAAGAGGAGCTTCTATCCCCAAGCCATCCGTGCCCTAAACACACACACCCGCCCTCTCACATCATCTATAATTGACTGAGACAGGACTCTTCCAGACACTAAACCAAGGCACAATGTACATTTCAATTCCTTTAATTTTAAATATGTTTATATTGTCTATCCTGTAAAATAGTCAGATGTCTATTCATATTAATGTACAGAATTCACCTGCTTGCTGCTACTACTGCACATTCACCCAATGTGTATATGTAGTAGTGTGTGTGTGTGTGTGTGTGTGTTTATGTGTGTGTGAGTGTGTGTGTGTGTGTATATATTTATATAAGTATATATAGTATATATATATTATAATATATATATTATATATATATATATAATGTTCTTCCTCTACCCCTCTGATGAACCTTGAACCTATAGACAGAAAACACCCACAAAAAGGTGAAAAACAGCAACCAAGCAGCAAAAAACAACTAAAAATACACAGAAACGAACTGCAAAGAGATGAGAGGTAGTTACAAAAGATACAAACACAAAGAGATAATAAAACAAACTAAGAAATCTAGAAAGTGAGAAAATGAACATAGAGGAAAGAAATAAAACTGCAGAGACAGTAAGGTAGTCTCTGCGGTTTTAACAATTAGACACTGTGTAGGTACAAAAGGCAGATAAACAGGGAAATAAAACAACCATAGAGATGTTTTAAAAAAACAGCTACACAAACCCAGAATAAAACTACATGGAGATGCCAACATCCATTGAGAGACTAAAACAAGGAGATAAAATATCTTCAAAAAGAGTCATAACAACTACAAACAGATGCTATAGAGGTTAAACAACAGTCAAACGGCCTTTATAGAGACAGAAAACAACTGAATTAGTAGAAAACAATAATAATGTACCGCAAAACAGTCCCAAGAGACCAAAATGACACGAATGGTATACAAAACAATCACAAAGAGATAAATCGGATACAAATTGATGCGTCATTTTCATATGGACTAAACCACTCATCCAAACAGAAAACAATACGCAAAAATCTAAAAAGCAACAAAATCCCCACATCGAGACAGAATGACTACAGAGTGCAAGAAATGGCCACAAGATGCTGAAAAATAACAACAAAGGGACCGTTAACAGTGACAAAAGCTGTAGACAGACAAAGTGGCTCCAAACAGGAGGATTCATGTAATAACCTTCACATAAGTGACCACAAAGAGACAAAAAAAAATCATAAAGTGGCAAAACCAGCTACGGTGAGACAGAAGAAAAAACTATGAAGAGATGTCAACCAGACATAAAAGACACAATAGACAAAAGAGAAATTGATAAAAGGACCACAAGAAATGACACAAAGACTATAAAGCAACACAGGCAGTTAAAGTTACAGACAGGAAGTGACTAAAAAGAGGTCTTGGACAGCTACCAAAGACACAAATTTACAATGAAGAAAGACAGAGGGACTATAAAGAGATATCATGAAGATACAGTGCAGACAAAGTGGCTACAAAAAGATAGAAAACAACCAAAAATGCATAAAGAACAGCAAGAAAGTAGCTCAATGCATCCACAATGATGAGTCATATTACTTAAAAATGTTAGTGTTGCAAAAAGACACGAGGCTACAACATAAAGAAACAAAATGACAAACTTCAGCAGAGATGGAGGACCAGAAATGAAATGGTTCGACACCAGCTGACAGACTTCCTCTATCAGCTGTTTTAACAGAAGTTTTATATGTGCTGCATAATGTAAAAGTTCCTGAGATAATAAACTCATTAACACTGAATAAATTCAAGCACAACGCAATAAGAATTTCCCCTTTATTTTACGAAAAGATAATAACGTTTGTGAGTGCATCATTACAAAAAGTTCTTTGCCAACATAAAAAGGTACATTCATGCACAGTCGTACTGTGGAGTGCATCCGGCAGCAGACCTTCAGCGTAACCAAATAGCTCCTGCAGTAACCTGAGATAGCGGCGTTATCTAGCACCGCTCTGACACCTCATTGTTTTACTGTTGCAACACTGTTTGTCACTCCGTCTGCGGCTACATTCATACATCACAAATATACTGTTCAGTCACCACTGCATATGTGCCATGAGGTAAAATAACATTTAAATGTAAGAAAAGTGTACAATAAAAAAAACACACATATATTAGGGTTGAGGTTTAGGTACATACAGGTGTCGCAGCTTTCCCGTGAAATTGTCATTACTTCACCGACTGTACAGCATCACTGCATATACATCTTCTTATTCAATTACATGAATAATTAGGTAAAATAAAATTACATATAACTGTAATGTGTAATGCCACCAACTAATATTTCTTACAGGTCCATAGATTTAAATTTTAAATTGATATGATAAGTCACCACTAGATGGTGCTGTTCAGGCATAAAAATGCTGTTTTCTGCTCAGGTTGATCTGGGGTGAAATATAAAGAAATAATGCACAACTTAGAGAACTGCTATCATTAAAAGCTCGGACATTTTATTAATACTGCACAAAATATTTTCTATATTTCTTTTTGCTTTTTGTATTTCGAGCAGCAAATTGCATTCAATTCACAAAGCTGTGGTCCTGATTTCAGACATATGGGCGATACTGAGCTTCACAGCTCAGTATCTTCAATGGCCTCTGGTTCATCCAGAGTATCCAAACGTCTCTTACAGGCATCCAACAGTTTTTTCCTGGGCCCTAGAGGGATGTGGATACTGGTGAGGTCTGTATCAGAGCATAGCAACAGAGCTTCCAAGTCGATCTTCTCCCTCCTGAATATGGGCATGAACTCACTGAGACTCTGAGAGGCCAGGAAAGTCTCCAGAGGATTGTTCTCTGGCTCCATGTCCTCATCCAGCCCAAGCTCAGTCTCCTCCCAGGGCAGCTCCTGCAGATTTCTTTCTTGCAGGCTCAAAGCGCTGCCAATACTATCCTCATCGAAGCTGGGCAAGTGTCGAGGCAGTTTTCCTCGCAGTCGGACGTTAGGCGCTCTCCCCACAGGTTCACTCCCTGCAACGCTTTCCTCTACCCCAATTCCAAACATGCCTCCGCTCATATAGTTCCTCCTGAAAACCATGGTCCCGAGCCCCGGTCGAGTGAACAGCGAGTCACGCCCGGAGTCTGCGCTGATCTCGGAATAAGCCGCCTCGTGCAGGCCTGGGTCACTCATGGCTCGGGAGATGGTGTCAGCATCGTCGTCAATGTCACGGGGAAACATATCACGGATGTTGAGCCGCGACCGCTCTCTGGGGTTGGTGTAGGTGCCCTGTTTGAGGAACATCACGTCATTGCCTAGCTGCAGGCCAGACAGCGAGCGCACGCTTTTCCTCCCATCTTCGTAGATCTTGAACGTACCGTCAACCTGCTTCTTTTTCTCGAGCTTCTTCTGTATCTTGGCCTTGCCCTTGGCTGTCGAATGCAGGGTGGCCTGAAAGTGACAAATCAGACACTGTGGATCACCCAGGGGTCTTTCAGATGATGTAAATAATTACTGTAAATGTCAAACTCAAACAGAGGCAAAGTCTTGCAACGTTTTCAAGTTTTTTACTACTTGTGTATCTGTATGTTCTCACTGTGGTCAATTATGGTCACCCACCCTCCTGCTGAAATCTCAGTCTTTACAATTGACTAGTCAATTGGGGAAAGTTAGCTTTAAAAGTTTTGTTTCTTCTGACAGGGGTTGCATTAAAGCACAGCAAAAGATAAATAAAGGTTGTTTTGAATTGGGATTCACGCAAAGTTACTCTAGTAGAGTATAATAGTGAAAACATGGAGCTGATAATAGACCTTCTTTTAAAAATAACAAGCTTAACAGTGCCGTTTGGGAAGCTAAGTACGTTGTTTTCAAATGACTAAGACTAAAAGGTTTTGGGGGTTAAAAGGCTGACCATCAACTGCAACTGAGTCCAGGGACAGTTATTGATCTAAGGTAGAGCTTTAAATACTAGCTAAAATGTTCCCTGCTCAGTAAAGCAGAAGTTAATACTAAATCAGGGCTTTTGAACACAAAACCAACCACCTGCGAGTATGGCATGTTGGAGGTGACAGTGTTGAACTTGCGGCTCAGAGTGCTGCTGCTGGTGTAGCTAGAAAAGCTAATAGCGTCCAAGTTGTCTAAGGCCGCAGACTCCTTCATGAACTTCCTTGACATGCGTTCATGGTGTTTCTTCTGCAGCTTTGCGCAGTCTTTGATCCGGCGCTCCGCGGCGCGAAACGCCCGATCCTTGAGCTTGCTGACCAGCTTTGGGTTGATGGTAATCTGCTTGGCGGCGATGGAGTCCAGGTAGCGAACGCAGTCCATGTGGCCCTTGGTGGCAGCCATGTCCAGCGGTGTGTGGTAGTCATTGTCGAGACACCACACGTTGGCACCGAAAGCCACCAGGAAGGACAGGCAGTTATGGTGGCCGTTGGCAGCTGCCAGGTGGAGCGGCGTGTTCCCCCAAATGTCGCATTTGTCCGGGTCACCTCTAGAAGTCAACAGAGGAGACGCCATGTTGAATTTATACACAAAGTTTACACACTTAGACAGCTTCTAACTTTATTTGGTGCCGACTCTAGAACAGGTTCCATCCATTTCCACCAAAGACGACCATATTACGGATATCACCTCTTTATGACATCATAAAGAGCCATGCGTAAAAAATATAGGCTGAAATCAAGTGTTTAAAGGAGTTTGACTACTCGCATACACCTTGTGTTTTTATGAGCATCCACCAGTGTAACTGTGCATATGGAAGACACATATTTATGTCTGTACCAGTATTTCGCTGGAAAACAGCTGTCATATAGATTTTAGTGAAGCATCTGAAAAGCACAACTCTAATGTAGAGCAACAACAACAACAACTCCACCTCCTGCAGCTGCTGCAACGGTGACTCGTGTTAATCTGCTGTAAACTCTCCTCCTCTTCCTGTTTTCCCTCCTCCCACACGGCCGGGTCCTGATCAATAATTGAAGCGCAGCAGGTTAAACATGACAGAGGCGACTCTGCATTATTCATCTCCCACACCCAGACTCTTTTTTTCACAGACACCCAGCGACAGTGTTACCACGCACCACAGCAGGGTCACCACCTTTATTGGCACCAACCCTGATTTCAGTTCACGTCTGCGGTGCTGCACCCTGAGTGTGGACTTGAAATCACGTATATCTGAGACGAACCATGTGGGTGTTTATTTACCTGCCAGAAAGACCAATTACATAACAAAACTGAGAAATCTATATCACTCAACGCACAGGAGGAATCCCACTTAAGTAACTCAAAATAGCAACTGGACTGTCTGAAGCAGTAAGTCAGAGATGACAACAATGTTTCCTAGAAACAGCCCAGCAAACATGGCTGAAACATGTTTTTATCAACCACTCACAACTGGTTCCTACATGATGGCAAAAACTGCACTGCTGATGGACAGATGTTGATGTTTCTGTGGACCAGTCAGACCTCTCCTGGTCTCTACTGTTAATAAAAAATACATTTCTTTGTCATCTAATTTGGTAACTAAATGATTGCGTACACAGCTGACACAACATCCACTTCTTGTTTCTTTGCATAGATCTATGTAGATTGTTTGCTTTGTTAACTTTCTTGTCTGGACCATCACAGTCACTGCCTCACTGGTTTCCACATCCTGAAGTCAGGATTTAAAACACACATTTCTACTTTATCTGAGAATGTTTTAACTTGGTCTGAAAGGACAGGAAAAGACAATTCTGCTACACAAACTTTCCCTTGCTACAAAGTCTAAGGAAGTCCAGCAAATGCTGAAGTTACACCAGCACAGTTTCATTTTAAAACTATGTTTTTTATCAGGTTTAGACAGAAAAGACAACTATACTAAGGTAGAGTCATGTGGACTCCAGCCAGTCACATCATATGAGCAAGTGTCAGCACGATGGTGGAGGGGTGATGATTTGAGCTTGTTTGTACCTGGGCACCTCACGGTGCCTGAGTCGGCCATTAGCTCCTATCTATACCAACGTATTGTAGAGTCAAATGTGAGTCCATCTATCCAACAGCTAAATCTCGACCCACACCGGGTCATGCAACAAGACCAACCCAAGCACAGCAGCAAGTTACAGCAGAATCCCTAAAAAAAGAAACGAATGGAGATGCTGCAAAGTCCAGACCTCAACCCCACTGAATGCAGTGGCAGGACCTTAAAAGAGCTGTGCATAAATGAGTGTCTGCATACATCAATGTACTGAAGCAACATTGAAAACAAGCACAGGTCAGGCCAGGTGCCGGTTTTAGCTCATAGTTGAGAAGGTTGACTGCTGCTGCTCCATGTCTTCTCCTTCTCCCGGCTTTTGTCTCCATCTTCACTTAATAATTATCTATCACAGGTGAAAAGTGTGGGCCAGAATTCCTCCACAGCAATATCAGAGACTGATAAAGGGTGACGGGGTCAGTCATTTGAGAGAAGCTTAGAGTGCAGCTGATACTCCTCTGCATCAAAATGAGCCACTTGAGGAATCTGACAGGGATGCTTCCTGGGTGAGGAGTTCTGGGTATGTCCTACTGGTACAGGGGTTTAGCCTGCAAATGCTGGAGAGATTATATTCCTTGGCTTGTGTTTTGAAGCAAGCAGTCACAAGTATCAGAAAAGCATAATAGAAAAACCACCCATATGGGAAAATCCCTTAAAGAAGAGTCAGGTTTCATCTCCAAACAGGTACCACTAGTTCAGAACGTAGAACCCATTCACATCTTGGCAGTTAATACAACATGTTTTGTCTTCTTGGTGTCATTTTCATTGGTGCTCTCACACAGCAGCAGTAATACTGGGAACTGAACAATAACTGTCCCATTTTACAGACAATGACAACTCATGACAATCATTATGGACATTCAGAAGACTCTTTGTTCAGGATTTGGGGCGTGCTGACACCAGCTGCTCTCTGGCAGAAAGCATCATGCCCTTCCTGTGTTTTAAATACACTTGAGAACAACATGCAGCAACACCACATATGAGCGGGCAGAGGGAGGTAAGGGGTCTTCACCCCTTCTCTATTCGCCATAGGAGCGGGGAGCTGGGAGGGCAAGTTGGCCGTCTGGTCAGAGTCTGGGATGCAGGGCCTCCCTGCTGCTGCAGGACTGGGGGTGGTCTGCTTGTCTCCACCTCAGGGAAAAGGGTAACAGGGTCCAGGGTACCTGGACCTGGGGTATAGAGTATGTTTGTCCATCTGTGTTTGTCTCCACGTTGGGCGAGTGCCCTGTATTTGTATATGTGTGCATGAGGGTGAGAATGCATGTTTGTGTCTGTGTGTGTCTGGTTGTCTGTGTCTATTTTTCAGGTCAGGTCTTAAACTCCACCTCTCTGGGAACATCTCAGGCCCCCTCAGGTGTGGGGGCCTGTCTCCCCTCACCACACTCCCTGCCGGTGACTGAGGCCCTCAACTGGTGGTGCGTTGGTGGTTTTCGGTGTCCGGGGCTGGGCCCTTAGATATGTACCGTCTCATTCCTGGTGGCTTCTTGGCAGGACCTGGCGCTCGTGCCTCGGCCGGGCCCCTTCCGGGGGTGGGGGCCCTCGCACCTTGGGCCTCTGGGCCAAGGGCTCGGTCTGTTCTGGCGTGGCTGGCTGCTGGCTTCTGCACCGTGGCTGCTGGGTGACCCCACATCTGGGGTTCTCCTCAGCTCTTCCCAGGAGGGTGGTGCAGTTGCCCCTCCGATGGTCCTCCTTGTGCACTCATTTAAAGCAACTAGTCAGAAACCAGTGTTGCAAGATCCAAAGTATTTATATAAACAAATCTTGCAACACAAAACACCCCTAGGCACTTACTTTAACAGTTATTGTCTATAAATGTATTTTCATTTTACAGGTCACCAGAACATAAAACTATATTTACATTTGCACAACCTGCTTAGTGTTTGTCTTAAAGGATTGAAAGGACTCTGAGAGGATGAGGAAAAGCATTTTGTGCTGAACTATTCAGTGTCTGTGTCTGCTGAACAACAGGCTCTACACTTCATCTGCTAACACCATCCTGACAGTAAGGTAAGCCAGTGGCAGCATCCGCAAAAACAGAGACAGGAAACTGGCAAGAACTGAGAGAAGACCAGTGAAGTGACGGTCATTGGAAGAAAGCTCTATGTCAGGGTGCAGAGACCTGAGACTGAGAGGATGGTTCACCTTACAGCTGCACAACAGCCCAAAGCAAACAGATGAGACAACACTGGAGCAGTTCCAGGACAAGTCTCTAAATATCCACACTTCAATCCCACAAACCTCTGTGGAGAGACCTGAACGTGGCACTTCACAGATGCTTCTCATCCATTCTAAGCTTTGACTGATCGGTAAGGAATAAAAGAAGAAAGCGCCCAAATCCGTGTGCAAACCTGCAGCGGCCCAAGAACCAGAAGCGCATTCCAAAGGGGCTTTGACATAGTACTGAATACGTAGTGCTAAAAGTGCTAAAGTAGTAGCACTAAAGTGCACTAAAGTAGTGCTATAGCAGAGAGAGATCCAAGTTAAAAAATACAGTATCATTATCATTTATCAAGTGTAAGTATAAAGTGAACAAATTTCTCTTTATTTGTGTAAAATGGCAATGGCAACAAAATAAAGTAAAAAAATTAATAAAAGCCAAAAGACAATATAACCAAACAAAAATCTGGACTTTCTACAGAAGATATTCTTTTCAGTTCTTTGATTCTAATGTCTGATTTACTGAAGAGTCTCTTGGTCTCCAAAGACTAGTCTCAGTCTTTACATATAAAGAAATACATGGAATTAAAAATGTTCCTATCTCAGGTATTCCTGGCCAATAAACATAAATGAACCTAGAACTCTCAAAGGGGCCCCCATGAGCCCAGGCTTCGTGAGTGAAAGTCCTGTATGTGATTTATGTTGTAACCATCTACATGTTTTTTGTTTCTTTATAGAAATGTGTTGCATTTTACAATCAGGAAGAGAGTCCTTGTTCCCTCCCTGATTTCTTCATTTTTTGCATTCCTGAAAAGCTATTTAAACCTACCTGGCCTAATGTGAAAAAGTAATTGCTCCCCAATTCTAATAACTGCTTGTTCCACCCTTGACAGCAAGAAGTGCAATATACTGGTAATGAGTCTTTCTCATTGTCTTTCTTGGCCCACTCTTCTTTTCAGGATTGTTTTAATTAAGTCACATTTGATGGATTTCCTGCATGAACGGTCCGTTTGAGGTTATACCAAAGCCTCTCAATCAGATTTAAGTCTGGACTTTGACCAGGTCGTTCCAAAACCTTCATTTTTTTAGACATTCAGAGCTGCCTGTGCTGGTATGTTTTGGGTCAGCTTTAGATCCCCAAAAGTCTTGAGGGTATTTTTTTTATTGGCTTTTGGGTTCTTTCTTTGAAGCAGTGGTTTTCTCCTTAGAACTCTCCCATGGAGGCCACTTGTGCCCACTCTCTTTCTTATGAAGTCTGACCTTAACTGAGGTGAGTGGAGCCTGCAGTTGTTCAGATGTTGTTCTGGGTTCTTTTTTGACCTCCTGGATGAGTCGTCGATGTGTTCTTGGAGTAATTGTGGTAAAACAACTACTCCTGGGAAGGTTCACCACTCAGATTTTGTCCATTTGTGAATAAGGGCTCACATTGTGAAAGCTTTGGCTATGTCCAAAGAAATGGCTTTGTAACCCTTTAAGCCTGGGCATAGCAGTGAAACTGCACTCAGCTTTCAAAAAAAGTAGTTAATCACAGTCAACTCATGATTTAAGAAGAGGGACAATTACTTTTTCACACAGCCCAACATAGGTTTGGATAACTTTTTTCCCCTTAATAAATAAAATCATTATTTAAAACTACATGTTGTGTTTACTCATGTTATTAAAATGTGTTTGTTTGGAACATTTAAATCTGAAATGATGAAATGATGCAAAAACTCACATCTAGGCTTAAATGCTGTTTTAGCTTGAATAGCACAAACTGGGCCAGTCAGGGCAGTGCAGTCAGGTCTGCGTCTGTAATCGGAGCCATATTTGTTCTTTAAATAATGATTTTGCCCACTTTTAGGTACAGTTCTTTTGTAAGCTCAGTGTCAGTGGGGTTGATGAGTGTAGATTTATGACCATTCCTGTTCCTGCTTCTTAAACTGCCCTCTTGTTGTCTTCAGTGTCGTTCTTGTTGTAATGCCCGCTCTGCTGCTCAGCTTTCTTGTCTCTGCTTCGCATGCACTCGATCCATCACTCTGACCTTTGCAGTACCCTGCACTTCACTGCACGCTTTATAAAGCTGCCGCCAGCTGCATGACACAGTGCACCTCGCCCTGCTGTTAATATGCTCCTTCTTAGAGAGCAGGAAGCAAACACGCTGCTTTGTTTGGGCCCTAAAGCCTCCACACGGTGCTCTCTGATACTCTACCTTACTCTATCTGTAACTTATCTGCCCTGAATATAGCCTTACTCCTAAAACCTGTTTGTGATTGTCTCCGTTTTCTCCAAGCTTCCGGTCAGTTTCAGTAACTGAGTTGTGTAAAAATGGCTTGTGTATAATGGCTCAATCAGATTTAAGGCTCTGCTGTGTCACGGATCAGCCCAAGCTTCATCTGTCAGATTTAATATATAGCCAGCACACACAAGTGACCTTTGTATGCAATTAGGCTGTTTAAATGTACAGCCTCCATCTCTTGAAGTGCTGATTAGATTAGTGATGGGGGTTGGAGCAGTTTTATTTTCTCAGTTAAACACAAACTAAAGAACGTTCTGCACGGTTAGATATTTCTGTAAACTGTACAGAAACTAACTGCATTTTGTCCAGTATAATACAGAAATAACTTGAGATTACACTGGAGTTTTGTGGACGGTTGCAGCACTCTTGTGTATATATTGAATCCACAGTCACTGTCTTTAATAAAGGTAGAAATCTGGCTGGAATCCACACCTGGAGACCAAGAAGTGATCAGGTAAGGTTTGTTATCTTGTCAAATGAGCAACCCATTTTTAAATATTCACTACCTCAGATTTGGGACTATGTCTCCTTCAACTGTTCATATTGTTCTTACAGTAATTTATAGTAATTTCTTACTTTCAGCCACTAGACTGTGGTGTTTTACAGTGAACCTTGGCTAACAGACTTGAAGCAGTAAGATTTACTGCTGACACCATTAGGTAATCATTAGCTATTATTAATATCTAACTGTCTTCCGCAGTGTGTTTTTTTTCCTGTTTTCCTACCCTCACTCCCAAACGGTCGCCCCTCCCTGATCCTGCTTCTGCCGGTTTCTTCCTGTTAAAAGGGAGTTTTCCCTTCCCACTGTCGCCAAAGAGCTTGCTCGTAGGGGGTCAAATAATTCTATAGTTTTCACCTTGTTTTGATTTGGAGCTAAATAAATAAAAAGAGTTGAAACAAATTGAAGCCCATGGGTAAGTTACATAATGACCAGAATGAGGATGGAAAAATAGTTCATTTAAGATAGACAGATGGATGATTAGCTGCTGTGCTTCAGCATCAACTCGTTGCCATGAGGTAGTTAAAATACAAGAAAGAAAAACATACAATATCCTATAATATTTTGAATTTTATTGAAGTATAAAAATCATATGAAGTAGATATATATCCATCCACCCATCCATTGTTTTAAGTGGTTTTTAATATTTTAATTGTGTCGTTTTTTTTTATTATTTAATTATTTTTAATACTGTGAATCACAATTAAAAATCTTAAATGTATGACCTCCATATTTCCAAAATACATTAACTAATCTATCTATCTATCTATCTATCTATCTATCTATCTATCTATCTATCTATCTATCTATCACATATATATAATTTTTATACAACTTTTTGAGTACTTTTCTCTATTTTGGTGCTTGTGGTTCTGAACTCACCCTCTGCTCACGATGAGCCGGAGCGCCTCCAGGTTGCCGTGGTAAGCGGCCCATAAGGTCGGTGTCATCCCATCCTCGTCCGGGGCGTTCAGATCCTTCCGTGTGGCCTCCTTTAGCACGTCCAGGAAGCCGTCCCGGGCCGCCCGGTGATACCGGTCGTTCATGGCGACACCTCGGCTCAGTCCCGGTCCGGTTCCATGGAAGCCTGGATGTGGAGGTAACTGTCACTCCGGGAGTCCGGACGGCCTGCAGCGGGACGTAGCGGCGGACTGACTGGTTGCTGGGAGACGAACACCAGGCGTGCTGGTTGTCAAGCGGGGGGCGTGGCCCAGACGATCCTACACACCGCCTTTCCTCATTGCTCATTACGAGCACAGAATTACTTAAAACTGAAATCTGCGAGAAAATAGTTGCCCCAGAGACGTGGCTTTGGGGCAATTATCAGCAATTTATTTATTTTTGATCGAATTTTGAATACATTTTTTTTTTTGCCCTTTCAGTTCATTCATCATCCCCCATTCTTAAAATATTTCTCCATATTAAATATTTTTTATTCTTTTATTTATTTAGAGATCATAAAAGTAATGTATTATTTCTTTAATATGAAATAACAACAATAACTATATATCAGTATTTCAAAAATAATTATTGATACATTAATAAATAATTCAAATGGATTTTCCAAAAAAACATAAGCTCTCAATAAAAGCTAATTTAAAAAACCAATTTAAAATTTAAATTTAGAAAATTACTTTCAAACTCAAAATGGCCATCCCTCCCCTCGGTTTTGGGATTAGCTTCTCCATTTAGCACTTCCTTGACTATGGTCCTTCGAAAAAAACTAACGCAAATTAGCCACGGTGTGTGATGGAAGGAGCTCTCTGATTGGTTACAGAGACTCAGGCTGACTACCTGGGTTTTGTTAAGGTGCTTTTTTTGTACCGATAACTTTGTATTGCTAAACATATATAAAGGCATTCAGTCTCGGCTTTTACACTCTGAACAACATGGAGATAAGAAGTATATGACGGGACTGCAGACAAATGGAGAGCCGAAGCTCCGAGTGTTGAAGAAGGTAACATGCTAACATGGCTAACACTAGCATCACCTTAGCTAATGAAAATATTACGTCCCAGCAGTTCTAGATAGGTACGTTTTTAGTAAGCTAATATGCTCTTCACAAATAAAGCTTGACACCGTTCAGAGCAAGCGTTGAGCCCTGTTACATTTATACACATATATAGAGCAATGGCGGCAACCTACAGCCTTTAAACTCGTGATTAAAATGCTGTCTGCCCAGATGTTACCACACACCTTTCTGGTAGTTAAAGTTAATAGAACTAAAACATCTGCCAAGGCAACGAGTAGAGATGACACGCTGCTGAATTAAGTTCATTTGTTTTAATTAGACGAGTGCACACATTCATTCTAAACTGGACATAGATGATCATCAGGAGCCACGTTCACCTAATCCCAGCCTCTCTGACACAGTATGTCAAATATTCGCATTGAATATTCAGTATATTGCAATGACTAACTGCACCTACAGTACCTATATGCAGTCAAAAATACACATGGGCAAACGTAGTTATTAATAAAATACATTTATATTGCAAACCAAGGCTGAAATTGATTCAGTCTATTAATTTTCTCTGTATGCTCTGTAGGGACTGTCCCAATAAAGGCCCTGAATGTTGAGATCAATACAATAAATGATGTGGAAATAATTTTCACAGAGGTCATAAAGTTAGTAAATCCCTGCTGATATTTTGGCTGATGTTTACATTTTCAATTGATTTGTGTTTGTAGGTTTGCTTGTTCTTGACAACTTGGACTCCTCTGGGTGATAAGGACACACCTGCATCTGTTCCATATCATGTTCATGGAGGATGTTATGGCTTTGACAGCACTTGGTGTTAGCTTTTTGGCATCAGGCACCCACACTAGAAAACCTGCAACCTGGACTTCATGCAGGAGAGACCGCCTCAGTCATGTTCGACTCTGCGTCCTCTGCTTTACCTCCTAATGTCTTTCTGCTTTAACGCACAATTAAAAATCATTCAAAAATAACTTATTTCATGAGTTATATTTCAGAGGAGTAAAGGTTTTTACATAAATGAATGATTTTTATTTTTATTTTTCCATTTTGCATTGGATCGTACATGTGCAGATCGACCGATCACTAGTCATACTGAATTTTAATGTACAGAGCAGGTGAATGTGAATACTAAACTTTAGTTATATTCAGCAGACATCAAAGAACACCGCTGTCAAGCTTAACTGGCATTTCTTTTCAGCTTATGTTCTCAAACTCCCAAGAATAATGCCTGTCTGAATAATTTCTGTGATGATTGGTAGATAGTTTACAGTGTTTGTTTTTCTGCTTGCTAAGGCTGAAAATAATGTGAGAGAAATAAAAAGAAAATCAAAAAATGTCTTATTAAAATAATTAATTTCCAGGTAACAATATGCCCAAAAGTTCAGTTCCTCTGGACATTTTGTCAATGGGAGAGATCACTCATCTTTGATGAGTGATCAAATGTTTCTCCCAATGATAACCATTGACTCCAGTAGAATTAAATCAGCTATTTAAGATTTTAAAAAGAGCTGTTAGATGCTGAAATGCTGCCTAAAGCTGTGGGAAAGTTAAGATTCTTGCAATATATGTGAAAATCACCGCTTTGACCGATTACAGATCCTCCTAACAGCTAAACCGCGTTTGCTGTTTGTATTTTTAATTTCTGCTACTTGAGATTAGTTGGACCTTGTAAGTATGAGAGCTCGGAATCATCTTTGAACACAAAGACGTGGTCTCATACGAGGACAATGGGTTTATTTTACAGCATAGTGCAAAGCTGCCATATTGTAATATCCCCATATGATGACACATGGTCTCAGACAAATCATACATGATCCAGCATTTTACAAAGAATGCAAACTTTCTTCCTGTGTGCTGGTTGACCCTGCAAATCTTTACAGCACTCGTGTTACCAAACTTTTGATGACTGGTGTGCACTTCCTGCTTCGAAAGTGTACATTTTTTATATTCATCAAGATATCTGATTTTGAAGAGGCTGGAAATGTTTGCACTTGTGTCATCTCTTCTCTTTGCATTGTCAGAGGGTTAATATGATCTAATGCATGAGCTAACAGGACAGGGACACGCAGTGAGGAAATGGATTTGCAGATGAGGAGTGGACTCACCATTTTTATGTCACAAATAAATCTTTGATTTTTAAATCCATTTACTTATTTCTCTTTTTTAAATTGGTTTTTTTTTAAGATCTTGAAGTTCTGTTTCTTTTAATGCTTTATGGAATTAGGTTTTTGTGGAGAGTTTAATTATTTTTTGTGAAATCCGTTTGTGATTTGAAATATTTATTAATGAGTTAATACATTTGTAGGCTAATGTCTAAATGAAGAATTAAAAAATGTATTTAATAATGCACATGCTTTGGCCCTCCATGCACAGCAAGCAGACAGCTTTGTGTCATTAAACAGTGAAAATAAAAATAATCAGCTGATCGGGTTATCGTTCCCACTCAACCATTACAGCAGCTCGAAGCGGCGAAGCGATAAGAATGGCGTCACACACCTAAGTCAGGTCCTGTTGCGGCTTGTTTGTAAACTCTACTTGTTGGCAGAGGGCAGGTTCATACATTTCAGTTCTGTAATGCTGTGTACTGACAAACACCACTTACAAGCCTTTAGATTAGATTGTTAGTTTTTTTTTTAATTAATAATTCATTAATTTTTCTATTAAGTAAACTTTGTCCGAATTGCTCAGCAGGTGAATAAAGGACCAGTTTGCAAAGTAAATATGATGCATTTCCTGTGTAGGTGTGTTAAAATCATGACCACACCTACAGCCGTGTGGGAGCCGTGGGAAGGCGCATTAGAGGACTGTCGCGCCCTGTCAGACTCATGTCTCCACGCTGAACTTCAGCTGAAAGGAAAGGAAACAAGTGTCTTTTGAAGACAAGAGGAAGAAGCATGAGCACGGATCGTGATGCTGGAGACTTGGAGCTGGATACTGTCTGTGGGACACCTGAAAATCCCACTAGTGAACCGCTCCAGAGCTCAGACCATCATCAGACTCATGAACAGGAGCTGGACCCGGTGCTGCTGTGGGTTCCCAGTGGGAGACGCCTAATCTCTGGTTTGGTGGGTCTCAATGTGGTTCTGCTGGGAACCGCTCTGGTGATCGGCGAAAACTTCAACCCTGAGGGTCTGAGCCACCAGGAGCCTGAGGTGTTCCTGCTGGTGCTCATGGGGATCAGCCTGATCTGGATGTTCTGGTACCTGCTGTGGGCCAGGAGACATCCGGATATAAGCCCGCAAAGAGACCACCACGCCGGGGGGGTCCCTGTCATCCGTAAGTCCCCGTGTTCGATCTTTAAAGCAGACTGCTCACAGGGTGTGCTTGGATTTTCTAACAGCGCTTTCATGTCACAGTGGCTCTCCTGCTCTTTGCTGCCTTCAGCCTGCTGCTGTTTGTCTTCAGGGTCGGTTATTTGATGAGTACGAGGGAGTGTAAGCCTGCTGCAACGCTGATTTCACCGTTCATGGAGGCTCCTTTTCTCACTCTGCAGGTAAAATCCGAAGGCAGGCTGGAGAACTGGTGCAAGTTGTTACTGAGAGTGCAGGAAGCTAAGTGCTGGAGCTAAACAGAAAAAAGTGCTTATCTTTTCTACACTTAGACCAATCAGTCATCTCATGAAAATGAATATTTTATTTCATTATCTGATTCAAAGATGTTGTCATTTGATGAAGAGAAACTGAGTAAAAGGATCAAATTTCTAAGACTTTCTCATTTCTGTGGCCAAGGCAGCACAGGTCAGCAGGCATTCTAGGGATTATTTCACCTGCGCTTCAGCCAATTTTACCTGTTGACTCCAAATCAAGAAAATGGTAAGATTAGACATTATATAACAAATATTGGACGACTGGACAGCATTTAAAAAGTAAAGCCAAAATTAAGGAAGGTGTTTCTGTTGGTGCTTAAGTCCGTGTCCTTGGCGATGGACAGGGATGGGATATTCACGTTTAGAAGCGCAGGTGTTTCGAAACACCGCTCCGACGCGTGGGTCAAAACGCCCACGACACGTGACCTTGCAGTTTCGACAGGTGAATCAATGCCGGGGAGGTGCCCAGCACATCCAGGGGGCACAGGAAGTCTGAATATTTAGTCAGATTGTTAAGAAGTGGGAAGAAATGGTGCGCAAACCACAGTTTTCAAGCTCACGATAGGCGGTGAAAAGTGGAGCTCATAAAAAGTAAAACATAATCTTGTGATGCACAGTTCTTCTGCAAAGTGGAAAAAAGTACTCTGACTTTTTACTCAAGTAAATATTAAAATCCCTTTTAAGTAGCGTAGCAGT